TGAGAAATAAAAGAAGCAATTGTTGGAGCAAGGCTAAGGCTTTTGGTTTAACCCAAAAACTCCTCTCACACACTTATTTTGCATATCGTAAAATCACTCTTAAAACTATGGTTTGGTTTCCACCCAAACATGCCAAAAATACACAGCAAAATTAATGTGTAAGTTTGACAAGAACAAAGTCCTCATCACAGACATGGAATATGGCTTAGTACCAAGAAGTCACCAACAATGGAACAATCAAGTTGGTCACCCAAAAAAATAAATCTCATTCTAGTGTAAAACAAGGGAAAGTTAAAGAGTACCTCTTTCTCTAGGCTCATTGGCCTTCACACGCACCATTATATGAGTATCCCTTGATACCGTCTCTATTAATTCTTCCCAAGTACTGTATAGCTGAGCACGGCATTCCTCAAAAAGCAAAGGCTCAAACACTCTAACATACCCTTCTACTGATTCAAATTGGCCCGGTACACATTGTAACTCAGTTTCCTCTGATTCAAATTATTCCAATCAGCTACCAATAGAAAAAGATAAACTCCAACGATGTGCTAACAAATACTGAATGTGTAGCTAGAGAGATAAAAAAGTTGAAGCCTGATCATTTTACTAGAGCAGCATTTGCATGTTACCTAACATCCCATAATATTTACAACATGAGAAAGCCTTGACCAAGCAGCATCAGAAGTGAGCTATATGAAACCATAATAAACACTTTGAAAATCCTCCACAATGGTTCTACTAAATTGGGAGAATTACAATCAGGTCCGCAAGAAGAGATTTAATTACCTTAAAGTCCATTGACAAGTGAGGAGTAAACAATTTCTAAAAAGAAAAATAATAATAAGAAGTAGTTCAGGCTGGTCACTTGTCATTGGGACTTTTTGGTAATTAAATTTCTCTCTCGGAACCTTTTGATAATTCTCCCTTGTATATTTGTCATCAACCCTATCAATATAATCTTGAATTCATCATTTTAACTCACACAGAACGTGGTATCCATCTAATTTTAACAGATTCCACAGTTTTAAATGTCCTTTAAGCTCTGGAACCAGCAGTTTTCATATGAATATCATGCATGTTTAAGACGTCTAAGGAAATTTAAACTGCACATGTTGTATTGTAACTGCACTTGCTGTTAAAAATTCAGGTCAACAAGCCACTGAAGGTAGTTAGACAATCTAAATCAATGGCTTGACTGCACGGCGTGTTAAGTCGATACATAATTTTCAGATACTAGCCTCAAACATCCAAAGTGAGCAAATAAAATCGGTTTCCATCATTCCATGCATGGATTAAAATATGCAGTTAACATACTGAACATGTAAAAAGGCCATTGTGATAATTAACACAGATTGAAGTAAAGCTCTAGATTACCCCTCCATCCGTTATCTTTTCTTCTTTATGAAGAAACAATCCACCTTGAGAAACATAACACCGAAGAGGCATGTGATGGTGACTGGGTTACATAAAAAATTCATGTAAACCAACCGTAGCTATATATTTCAAATCAAAACTTCATTCTAAATACAACTGTCATCACCTTTGGAAGTCTCTCAAGTGTTATGACACTCACAGTGTGATAACTGGAGGAAGGGAGCACCAATACGATAAATCAGAAACAACTTGAGTGCAGAGGAACTAAAATTCCAAATCCAACAAGATCATGAAAAGAACATCAATATTAACAAACATACACTTGCACTAATAAACTATTCAATTACTTTATACCTGGGTGATGCCAAAACTTTTCACTGGTCACCTCACGTATAAGGCGCTCTACTGACGTGTCCTGAGACAGGGTGGTCACAGCAGTTTGCTTCTTGATAGAAAAATGCTTTTTATTTACAGGCTTCATATCACCAGAGCTTTGACCGGTCAATGCCAACTTTTTATTAGAAACTGATACACTTTTCTGCAGCCTCAAATCAGTTGACTGTTTCCATGAACTCTGCCTTGAAACAGGATTCAAATTGACCTCCGTGGAATGTACATGTTCATTATTTTGCCTCTTAGGCTGGCTGAGTAGTTCAGAGTTATCACCATTACAGTCAGATTTAGGCTCATAAGCATCAGCATAGGTGCCACCTTCATTAGAAGATGTGTCAACATGCTTCTGATCCTTGACTATTCCAACACGATCAACTTGTGCAGGAATATTGCGGACTTCCTTTGCACCACGAATTATAGCAGATGATGAGGAACTCTGCCTTCTAGGTGTTGAGGTTTTAATAGAACCTGCTTGCATCGCATCTTCCAAATTAAGAACCACAATTTGCCTATTACGCTTCTTTCCCAACATTTCCTCTTTGCGTTGGTCCATTTTCCTCTTGCCGGGGTTGTTTGCACATCTAAGAGCATGGATTGCTTCAATACCTTTCACTTCTTTTTGTTTGGGAACTGTACTAAGTTCATCAGATGCATTTGTAGAAGACTCACCTTTTACACTGCATTCAGAATTGATACCGTTAATTTTTTGTTCACAAGGACCTGATTCGACATCAACAGAAGCACGACTACTCTTTTCAACAGGTGCACTATCAGAGAATTTAATATTGTTAGAATTATCGTCTGCTGCTACTGTAACACATCCCTCTGCCATTCCAGATACTGCTTGCTCTTCTGAAATTTTGCTTTGTTGGGGCAAATTATTACAGCCATTAAAATCACCAGATCCCTCAGCATCAGACCATTCCCCTTCTTCTCTCTCCACTATTTGAGAATTAGCTGAACTATGTACTCTTGGCTTCATACCTCTCTCATCCACATCTTTACTATCCTTAGATGATGAGCAATCATTTGTTTTCTGATCTCCTGCTCTCATCAGTTCAGTATCTTTCTCAGCAACATAGGTAGTTTTCGACCGAACAAAAGGCTGAAATCCAGAGATAGAAGATGCGTGTGAAAAGGCCTGATTATTTACTATCCCTTGGATTCCTGCTGAAGCCACATTCAAGTCAGGAGCATGAGGATTTATAGATGGAAGTGTCCTTTGAGGCTGAAAACAAAAGGGGTCATCCTTATCATCATCATCCACTACAGGTGGTTCATTGAGATCAAAAATGGCCTTTCTCGAGAACCCATCTCAAAAACATATGTTTAGAAATTAGATTGTGAACAGAAACTAAATGAACAGACACTCCTCTTCTATCTTTAAAAGAAAATGCCCATGACATGCCCAAAAGCACGCCCAGATATGGAAGACCTGCACATCCAGTGGAGCAAAACCATAAGAAAGAGGTGTATTTATAGGTACCATGCCAATGTGCCAAGTAATAGAATACATTGACATACCTTTGTATAGAACAATAGAATGGGTCAGCGCACAAAATAGGTCGGGTATCCAGAAATCAACATGAACAATTATACATCTAAAAAGAAACATCACAACACAACGACATCCACGATGGCCAGTGCATGAACAAATGATGATCACAAACAAACACTAAATAAAACAAGAATTCGGTAACATAATCCTTTCAGGCTTCATACTGTAGATTATCCAAATGACAAATAAAACCAACAATACAAACGCTTTTGCAATGCCTCCAGTATGATAAAAACCAAAATCCTAAGCAAATTTGACATGCAAAGCGACAATGCGTCAATATCTCCAAAACCATAATCCAGAGAAGGGGAGAAAACCTCTATTCAACAATAAGAAACATTAGGCAGGAATCCAGCTTACTCCCCATCTTAATCCTTCCAAGATTAGTGAAGAACCTTAACCAAGATCTTATTTGCACAGAATCCACTTACAAAGATTCAACGTGAATCATTTAACACCACAGAAGTAATTTAGCAATAATGCACAAACCTAATAGTCAACCCAACATGACTCAGCATCTTTCATTCTACCATACAAAAATTCCCATACAACCAGATATCCATCAGGATATTCTTGACAAAATATTTACAATAAGAAAGCTACTATTAATCTGACCCAGGAAAAAAGAAAAAAAAGGAAAGAAAAATTAATAATTCAACGAAAATAACTTGGACACACAGCTGCAGGAAAAGGGTGCATGGATTGCAGCATGCAAGGTATTTTCCTGACCTAGTGCCCTCCCGTAGATATGCACTAGGCTGCATTTCTCAGCTTGCCCAACCTTGGCTACCCTGATATAGTAGGCAGAGCAGAATAGTATGGGTCCGAGCCAACCCAGTAAAGACTATTCACTGAAAACGTAAAAATTTGGCACCAAGTTATATGTTTGATTTAGATTACCATATATTTGTCATGGGATCATGGACAAATTAGTTCTACAGTAGCGTGTAGCCACTGGTCTCTCTCACCCCTAATCCCCCCCAGCGGCGTAAATCTATCTATAAAAGAATCTCTTTCCATAAAATATCTTCCAATTGCAGGGTTTACTGCCTGAGGATAGGAGGACTTCCCATGTCAAATTCAATGAGATCAAACTGTTGACACTGATGAAAGCCCTCTTTGGACCCAACTCTTTGGGCTCTCTTATGTTCAGTTTCGGGGTTTTAAACTGTAATCTTCCTAAGTCTGACAGCTATTCTTGCGTTCAATATAGGAGATCCAATTCTGATTGATTCTGCATTTAGGATAAGAGATTTGATTTTGCAGAAATTAGGCCAGATCCTAGTATTAACTGTAAAACTAGAGCTGTGCTCCTATAAAGTGTACAAATGCATACGTGAATAAACCAGAATTTTTGGCATATGATCCAACATGGCATGGGAGCAGTGATCCAGTTCGGCTTAGGGCTGAAAGTTAATAGCTAGGGTGGTTTTAACTCTTCAACATTAAATACATCATCACTGCCAGTGATCCCAGTCACAAGTCACCAAGCACCACGCAATACCAATACTTCTGCCATTACAATTCATCATTCAAATGGCCATAACTACCTTCAATGGGCTGTTGGAGTGTGTATCTATGTCACAAGCAAAGGGAAATTTGGGTATCTGACAGGAACAGTAAATAAACCCTCTCCTACTCATGTGAATTATGCTCAATGGGAAGCTGAATTTGATTGATTATTCAATCATAGATGGTGAATTCAGTGACCATTGAAATCAGCGCCAATTTCTCAGTTCCAGTCAGCACAAGAGGCATGGGAGGCTGCAAAAGACATATTTGCATCTCTCAAACCAATCAGGGATTTTGGAAATTGAAGCAAGCTTACATAACCTGAGAAGTTAATTTGAACGTTACATTGCAATAACCTTGTCATTCTATGGCAGCAGCTAGATCTATATGGCACTCATGAATGGTTGTGTACCACTAACCACAAATCTATGCCAAAAATAAAGAGGGGAAATAACTTAAAGATCCCACTTGGCCTAAATCCAACTTTTGATGAGATTTGAGCGAAGACAAGCTTCTTAGTATAATAGTTTTCTTCATTGTCAAGCAAGAGGAAAGTCAAAGAAACTGACCTCAATCAAACAGCCACATTCTACTGAAGCTGAATCTGGAGCTATGCTCTCCGAAGGATTCCAAAGAGATGGCAGTAGAGGGAAAAGAAATGGCAAATGGTGTGATCATTGTCATAAGCCAGTCCATGCAAAAGATGTTTGCCGGTAGCTCCATGGAAAGCCACTCAATCATAAAGTGAGAGGCAAGCACAACACAAAGGCACTTGCAACAACTGCAGATTGCAAACCAGAATTTAATGATAAACTCAGCAAGGAGGTGATTGAGTTTCTCAAAAACATTACTTTACAAGCATGACAATAAAGACCAACTGGTAGCCTCTGGTGATATTGCATACACAGGCAATGTAATCCTAGCTCCAAAATACTATTCACCATGGGAGAATGTGGACTATTGATTCATGGGCCACTGATCATACGATGGATCATGTGAATCTTATTCAAAATATAAAGCTGGATATGGAATTGGTGAAGCATGTCTATATGGTGTTTCAACACTTGAAATGTTCCATATGCCGCTGATATAAACTCTGGCCACTTGTCTGTTAGCAAATCAACCTTGTATCAGCATGGTCAGCTGATTTTTTTGCTACTCAATGTTTGCTATAAGACTAGGAGTCAGGGAAGATGATTGGCACTATTGAGTTGCAAGAGGGGCTTTATTGTGTGGAGGTACAACCATATGGAAGTGTACAGCCACGTATATCCAGCTTTATTGCACAGAAAACATATATCCAGTTTGCCAATAAAGATGTGTTGTTGTGGCATTATAGGTTAGGCCACCTTAACTTCAAATATATGTACAAATTAATTTCTAATGCTATGGATAATAGTATCTCTTGCGTTGCTTGTGATGTTTGTCAAATTTCAGAAGATAACAAAAACGCCTACAAAGCACACCTCCATCAACCCTCTCAACCATTATATCTTACGCATAGCGATATTTCAAAGGCTTGGGGGGCCACACACGTTCAGTCTTTATACAATGCAAAATGGTTTGCAACAATTATTGATGGTCATTAGCCTAAGCATTTCTCATTAAAGATGAATCTAATGTAATCCAAAATTTCATGAACTTTCACACTATGATCCAAAACTAGTTTAACACTTCCATTAAAGATATTAGAAGTGATAACGGGAGGAAATACATGAGCTCCAACCTATGATCCTATCTTAGAAGCAGCGTGAGCTATAGTGTTGACTCATAATGTTTCCACAATGTTATTTGGGGAAGCTACACTTACAGCGGCTCATTTTATCAATAAATTACCCTCCAAGGCTCTAGATTTTCAAACCCAATTCAAACTAGGGGATAAAGAAAAGGAAGAGTTAACTCCAGAAATGAAGAGGGAAAATAAAAACTGAAGACTTGGGGAAAACCAAAACCAACACCTAAGAAGGAAATAGCTCCAACTGATACTGAAAGGTACAAAAGGTTGGCTAGAAAGCTCCTCAATCTCCCAGACACAACCAGACATAAGCTATGCTGTTCTTGTAGTAAGTCGATTTGCACATCAATTACTAGAAGAGCACATGAATGCAGTCCACAGAATGATGCATTACTTAAAGATGACACTACAAGAGGGACTTTGTTTTGCTAAAGGAATTTCTAAGGAAGTCATGGTACATCCCAATGCTGATTATGGGGGGTCTCTACCATTTATAATCATTCAGCTGCCACAGGGACCATTAACAACGTCTTCCCCGTAAAAAGTAACACCCGTTTTCAAATCAGCAGATGTTGGAAATCAAAATTTGATGTCGCATACCAGAATTTTGTAGCAGCTGGTGAGGAAGCGATTGGCAAAGAGAGAAGATTAGCATCGAAACAGCAAACCAGAATGAGGAGACTAGACATCAGATTGCAATCCAGCGCGTCACCAGACTTAAAGAGAAGAACAGATACCAGTGTCAGACGGGCTCAGAAGGCAAAGTGAGAAGTCGAGAGGCAGTAAAAGGCGAAGATTGCACTTAAGCAGGGAAAGTCAAAAATCAAATAGGAATTAGGGATTTTGCACGCACTGGATCTTTTACAAAACCCATCTTCATTGGCCTTATGCACAGTTCATTGTATTGTAAGATAATCACATGACACAAATTTAGAAAGATGAGGTCCAAAGGAGCATGAGACGGAGAACAGACACGAAGCAGTCGAACCATGAGTCCATAACAGAGACAAGAAACAGAAGGAAAGCCACTAAATCATTTATTCGTTGAAACTACTTCGGATATTACAATAATTCGTCCCCGAAAATCAGTCCCCAGGTGAAAGCATAGGCAACTACCAATCGCAGATTAAGATAAAAGAGCTAAATCTATACAAATCCAAAACCAAAAATCTAAAAAATAAAACTAAAAATACATTTACGGCAAGCGAGGGAGTGAGTTACCTAAGCCTACGGGGTGAGCGAGGGAGTGAGTCTCCGAGCAAGGTTAAGGCGTCGGCTAGGTTGAGGCTTCAGATTTCCGAGCACGATAGCAACGGCAAACGCGAGGCCTCAACTCTTCGAGCAACGACGATAGCGAGCTAGGATGAGCAAGCAACGGCGAGCTTCCGATTTTCGCTTGCGGAGCAACGGTGAGGTTCAGATTTCCGTCCGAGAGAGACAGAGCAAGGAGGCCGCGACGCTAGGGTGAAGTCTTGAGCGCCGATGCAAGCTTTAGGTTAGGAGGAAGAAAGACTAATGAAATAGAAAAAATGTATTTAGAAAACAGAGAGAAAAGAACGGGGGAGGGTGGTAAATGCATTTAAACTAGGATATAAGTTAAAGAAATTAAATACGGAAACACATGTATAATTGACAAAACTTATGGAAGCTGCTTGTAAGTGAAATTTATAAAATGAATTTACAAATACACATACATATTTCAATAATGAATATTATTTACGATTTTTAATATAAGAGTAGTTTGACATTTAATTTGTTTCTAGATATAATATCCCAATTCACTTTGTCCTTTATATTTATCTATTTTTCTAAAGTAATCCTCATAATAGTTGCACATGTTAAATGTTTCATCAAATGGTAGTTCTAGCTAATACACATGATTAACAAAACTAAAACGATACATATTTATTACAAATAACTAATTTTTTTAATCTACTCAAATTAGTCAACTAAAAGGTAGTAATAAAAAATAATAAGTATCAATATTTTATACGTATTATAATAACTAACACTAACAAACAAATAAATGTATATAAAAGCTATAAATCCTAATTTACATTATAAAAGTTAATATAAAAAAATATAAGTGAATTTATAAGTACAAATCATATTTTATTAACAATTAACAATAGGAAAATAACAAATGTGATTACTTGAGATAGAAGCAATTTAATGTCAGTTTTGTCTTAACATAATAATATATACTCCTATAGTCTTATTTATAAGTCATTTTCAATGTATTTTATCGAAATCATAAAAAAAAAACTTAAATCTCTTGTTTTGGTAAAAAGATCAATTTATAAAACGAAGAAAATTACACAATTAAGATCAATATTACCAAGTTCAGGGGATAAGGGGTTAATAAAATATCGGTTTTGCAAAAAAGTAACTATAAAAAGATTGAAGCAATGTCATAACATCTTTTGCTGGGATGCTAGTGAATCAAAATCACCAAGAAGACCATTGAGCAAATTCTTCTTGTATGAGACAATATTGATGTGATTCATGGATTGCCAAAATGTTGGAGCTGCTTAAGTAATCCAATGCAACAACAATCTCAGACAAGAGATGTAGGAGAGACGGGGATTAGAAGACAAAAATTTCATCAACTTCAAGGTTTGAGTGTCATCATGACCAAGGAAAATTGTAGCAACACAAGAGGTATACCTTCGAGATTTAACCTTTCTCATGTAGATAGTCCAATTCTAAGTAGTGTTAACAATGTTGCAAATATCACAATTAGGCAAAGCAGAAGTAGGATCTAGATTTGAAGTGTTTGAAGTACAATAAATACTTTGCCAATTGCAAATTTTCATGACCTCAAAAATCTTGAATGACTTGTTTCGGTTTGCTAATGAGACCCCTGTGAAGTGCCATATTTCTCCTAGTCCAAATGAGATGTAGTAACACAATAACTCCTTTTAGCATAATCATGTTACCCTCGACACAAAGCTGAAACAATATCCCAAAAGCCATAAAAGGAAATCTCCAGCGAAAATGTCAATAGCACAAAGATAAAGCACCAAACCAAATAGCTTATACATATGGACAAGAATAGAAGAGATCTCTACCATTTTAGCAACTTAACAACCAAAAACAGAGTTAATCTGAATGTCTAAATGATTTTTCCTCAAAACCTCTCCAACAAGTACAGCAGAATGGATTAGTCTCCAAATGAAAAGGAGTTGTATATGGGGTATATGAATTTTCCGTAGGAACTCCCACAACTTCAATGGAGCAACTCTTCTAGTGATAGCATTCTGAGAAGATAGAGCATATTCCTGCTTAACACTATATTTGCTAGGGATGTCACCCTCCCAACAAAGTTCATCCTTACTATTACAAAGTAAGATAGGAGTCTTCAAAATGTTATGAGCCACTCTTGGAGAGTAAATAGATTTAACTAGTGGCACATTCTAAGAATGTGATAGTTAGTAATTAGGATCATGAGTAAAAAGGTCAGAGAGTTTCTGGATCCTAAGATTTGCAACCATTGAAGGATAAGCCATAGGCCACTAGAGACTGTGATCAATAGGAATTCCTAAAGCCAACTTGCCATCAAAGGTGTTAGAAAATGAGATTTGAAGAATCCAAGATATCTTTTCAAAACCAAAAAGTATTATAAGGTTTTTTTAGCTTCTAGCATGAAGAGGTATCCAAATATTTTATTCTTCAGAGTATTAAGAAGAAGAGAGTGAGATTCTACCAAAATAACCCTCCAAACTTGTTTAGCCAACAAAGCTAGATTCAAGTGATATGTAGATCTGATACCTAAGCCACTATTATTTGGAGAAGTAAAGAGCTAATCTTTCTTAACAGGTATAGTCTATGTTTTTTATCATCATATCCCCCAGAAAAAGTTAACAAGCTTAGCATCAATTGTGTTGCACACTTTTTTGAGAAGTTTTATGCATAGGAGTAAATGAATGTTAGAGGCAAAAAGTACAGATTTAATAAGAGTTAACGTTGAGGCTTGAGAGAGTAGCCGAATATCCAAGAAGCAATTCTCCGATCTATAGCATTTATAACTTGCCTATAGTTTAGAGATTTGACCCTTCCCGAATCAATCGAAGTACCAAGATATTTCCTAAAGTTGTCTGATAAACCAAAATTAAATATATTTTATAATTCATCCTGAAGGTCATTTGAAACATTAGGAGAGATCAGGATAAAAGATTTGCTCCTATTGATTTCTTATCCAAACCAAAGCCAAGAAGTTTTAAGGATTTTAGCCACCTCACTAATGTTGGATTTACTACATTCAAAGAAGATGGTAGAGTCATTAGCATAAAGTAAGTGGGTAATTGGAAAGGCATCATTACAGGCTTTGATTCCACAAAGTGAACCATTTATCTCTTGGTGGAGGAGTCAACAAGAGAGGATATTGGCTGCCAAAATGAAAAGGTGAGATGAGAGCAAATCCCTTTTTCTAATACCATTAGATGGAAAAATTGGTTGAGTAAGCATGTCATTAAACAAGATGTTATATTGAACAGTAATGACACATTGTATGAGAAGTTGGATCCATTTTTGGGGGAAGCACATTCTAATTAAGATCGCTTCAATACAAAGTCGAAGAAAGTATGTCAAAAGCCTTTGGAAAATCTAGTTTCAAGACAACAAGTTTCTTCCTTCCTTTTCTAGAATTGTGAATCTAATGAACAAGATCTATAACTAGTAGGATGTTGCCAGAAATTAATATGCACTCAAGAAAAGCACTTTGGAAGGAAGAAATAAGCTTAGGAAGCATAGTCTTCGACCTATTATATAAGACTTTGGAGTAGATTTAATAGGAAACATTGCAAAGGCTAATAGGTCTAAGATCTCAAAGAGATTGAGGGTTATTCCCTTTTGGGATTTAGGTGATGAGGGTTTTGTTCAATTCTTTCAATAAAAAGCTAGACTACCAAAAATAGTTAATTGAAGCAATGATATCATCTTCAATCAAAGACCAATTCTTTTGATAGAAAAAAGCATGAATTCCATCTGGCATAGGAGAGGTATTTTTTAGTAGATCAAAGACAGCCTTTCTAATTTTCTCATACATAAGTTCTGACAAGAGAAAGTTGCCATCATGTTCATCAATCTCCAGAGCAAAATTTTTATCCAATTCTTGTAGAGTAAGGTCACATCAAGAAGTGTAAAAGTAGTGAAAATTGAGTAAAAATGAGACCTCATCATATTAAGAAACTTTGCTTGATCCTTAATCCAATTACTATTAGGGTGCTTCAGGTATCTGATGTAATCATGGGTTTTTCTTCTGTTAACTATAGCATGAAAAAATTTTGTATTTCATTCCTCCTCCACCTTCCATTTAAGCTTAGCTCTTTGCTGCTAATAACTATTCTTATAATCATAAAGAAATTCAAGAGAATGTTTGGTCTTTTCCAATGTGGTCAACAGACTCACATCTGGATTAATAGCTGTATCTACTTTGAGAGTTGAAGTATGTAATTCACATTCTAGCATGGAAATAGAAGAGGATAAATTATTAATTTGGCATCATCATCTAGAGGTTTTGAAATCAACTCAGTTTCAGCAAACACAACATGTATTGACTCTTCAATAGTGAACGTAATTTGTTGAAAACTCTATAGGTTTTACTGCAGTTAGAGCAACTGAGAAATAAACCTTCATCAGCTTTGGGATTGAATTTACCACGATTCTCTTTGTTGTTGTTGTGAATGTAGCACTTGCTTCTGAAGATCTTTAGGTGAGCCAGGTTAGGCTTCCTTCCTTTGTACAGCTCATACGGAGTTTTCTTGAGCAATGTTCTGATGTAAGCTCTGTTGGAAATATAGTAAGCCGTGCTCATTGCTTCAGCCCAGAACACTTAAGAAATCCCTTTTTCATTCAACATTGCTCTTGCCATTTCTGTTAGCACTCTATTCTTTCTTTCCACAACTCCATTCTGTTGAGGAGTTCTTAGTACTGAGAAATTGTGGTCAATTCCATGCTCGTCACAGTAGTCTGTGAATTCGTTGTCCTCGAATTCTCCTCCATGATCAGTCCTGATTGACACAATAGAGATACCTTTCTCATTTTGGACCTTTTTGGCAAAAATGATAAATGCACTAAATGTCTCATCTTTAGAGGAAAGAAACAGAGTTCAGGTGAATCTCGAATAGTCGTCAACTATCACAAGGGTATACAAGTTTCCACCAAAACTTTTGACTCTAGACGGACCAACCAAATCCATGTGAAGCATTTGGAGTGGTCTTTTAGTTGAGACTGGCTTCTTTAATTTAAACAAGGATTTTGTTTGTTTACCCTTCTGACAAGCATCGTAAATAATATCATGTTCAAATTGAATTTTAGGCAAACCAATTGCTAAGTCCCTTTTTGTTAATTTTGAAAGTTGATTCATGTTAACATGAGCAAGACGTTTATGCCAAAGCCAACTTTCCTCATTTTTGCTAACAAGACAATTTACGGAAAGTTTTGAATCAATTTGAATAGTATAGCAGTTA